CGGTGCTTTGGATGTGGAGCACATGCATGCATTTAAATCACGTGTATCTTACTTTTTTACTGATGTAATTGTGAAATATGTTCCTTTTGCATTCATAATTAGGGGGTGGAACAGATGGTGAAGGCTTAGTTTAAAATAATCTGTCATTAAAATAACCTAGCCTACTGGTAATTCTTCACTCTAACTGGAGTGAGGTCATAGGAAAAGAGTTTGGGGTGATTTTTTTTTTCTCTTCTGCGCTGGAATGTAGAAGAAAGAACCACTGATCTCAGAGTAGTTATACACATGAGAATTACCCCTATAAGGGCAAGGTGGTAAGATTTCACTCTGTGGGATTTGGCTGTTGTGGAATATGCAAAACAAAAAAGAGAGAGAGAGACAAAACTACTTTGACAAATATAAATCCATTTAGCACAAGGCATTAAACATTAGTATACCTTCAATCATGAAGCTGTGGTTAGTTTCATACCCTGTAAGGAAATAACCTCATCATTTGACAATACTATTAGAGACCCTCAGCTTTTGGGTTAAAAAACCGTGCCTTTTACTTTATATGTTATACTGATGTCAGGGGATATAAATTATAATTACAGGCATTATTATTCAGAGATGCTGTAGCTCCTGACTTCGGTATCCAAGCTTCCCTCCTGCATGTGTACCTCATAGACTTACCAGGATGTGACAAAGGAAATCTCCTATCAGCCCTGTCAGGATGGCTAAGAACTGGTTTTAGTAATAAGAAAACTGTCTTGATAAATCAGATACTAGCATGCCTTTAAAATGTCTGTTTTACTGTTTCTTCTAAGATTTTGTTCTCCATCTGCTTTGAGGGAAGCAGATAGATTTCAGCACGGCTTTATAATAAATCTTCTCAAGGAGGGACTAGCATTAACATTTGTGTAGGTTCTTTTTCATCTTAATCCAACCTTAGTTAATAATCAGAAAATTCTACATAGTGAGTAAGAAGATGTAATTAACCCTTTGACCTCAGAATCTTAATTGGCGCCTGTTGAAAACAGTGGGCAGTTTTAAAAAAAAAATTAAAAAGTAGCCTGCAGTGATTGAAAAAGCTTGAAATGCAGTAGCTTTCTTGATTCAAAATTTTGACAAATTCCACAAAACTTTAAGATGAATCACATTTGGCTCCCAAGATGAACTGAATGTTTCCTTCTTCCTGTCACCTATTAAAACTGAGACAAGCACATTCAGAACAGTATTGATGCTACTCTTAAAACTTTCCTAAGCAGCAGAGTACCGCTAACTGTGAACAGGGATGACCCTGAACCAGAAAGCAATGGCCGTGCGAAGAGCCACCTTGCCAATCTGCCACACACCTGGTTTCGTATCCCATTTCCTTATTTGAAAGGTAATCAAACCTGAGTTTTGGACCTTCATCTCACACTATAGCTATAACTGACTGACATGATAAATACAAAGGTAAAAAAGATGGCTAACTGCCCAATTTGTGCGTGTGTGTGTGTGTGTGTGTGTGTGTGTATATGTGTTTACCTCTCTGATGACAAACAGCTAATCTGACTAGTTGTGTTCTTCCCACACCAAATTGGCTGTTATTTTTAATTGAATTGACTGGATGCTTTGTTTCATGTAGACATAGACTCATTTTAATCTCACCAGGAAATTGGAACATGTGTCGGAGCCTCTGCCTTGCCAAACAAAACTGGCCAGTTCTTAGATCGCTGCTGCTTAATAGCATCAGATGTTCAGCCTCCAGAATTTTTGTTTCCTTGCTAGGGTGCCCAAAAACCCTCTACTATTTTAGTAAATTGATGAGATATGAACCCAATGTTACAAAATCACGATCCCTTTAAGTAATAAAGTAAAGGTTGTCTGTGGATGGCACATGACCTGCACTAGATGTTTTGGAGAACAGCAAAAGAATCTAGGCTAACTCTGATTTTCCAAATGTCAGGAGATATCGCAGACTATGTTAGACATCTGTGGCATCAGAATCTTCAAATACTCTAATAGCTTCATAAACAGGACTCTTGCAGAAAATAATTTCCGGGGCGCCTGGGTGGCTCAGTCGGTTGAGCGTCCAACTTCAGCTCAGGTCACGATCTCACGGTTCGTGAGTTCGAGCCCCGCGTCGGGCTCTGGGCTGATGGCTCAGAGCCTGGAGCCCGCTTCCGATTCTGTGTCTCCCTCTCTCTCTGCCCCTCCCCCATTCATGCTCTGTCTCTCTCTGTCTCAAAAATAAATAAACATTAAAAAATTTAAAAAAAAAGAAAAGAAAATAATTTCCATCTTTCTTAGTCATTCTAGCATATGTGATCTAAGGGAAAGAGCATTGAGCGTGGAAGTGAACTGGGTTTACTAAGTCTTGGCTGAGCAGTTGTTTGATGTTGGCCAGATAAAGATGAATAAGACATCACCCCACTGTTGAGAAACCCAGTCTCCTTGGGACTTGAATAAGCCAACCAGGACCATACAACGTCATGAATACTTTAACCACACTATCGGCGTGCAGCAGATTTAATGCTAGGTTTGCCACTGGATGACTGTATGATCTTGTCCAGCCACTTAACCTTTTCTGTGCCTTGGCTTTCCAACCTGTACAATGAGGGTTTAGAGAACAGGAGGTTGTCTCTGTGCTAGTTCCATCAGTCCTTTCTTCTCTCAGTCAGCCTTGCAACTGTCATGTGCGTGCATAAGAAGTTCTCCTGCGTCTCTCTCTCTCTCTTTCTCTCTCTCTCTCTGTCTTTCTATTCTGACAGCAACACTTTAAGGTTTGAGAAGATGGGTTCACACAACTCTCTATAACTGTATGCCAGGGCATGGCCATTGGGTTGAGTGGAAAACCTGTCAAGGCCCTGTTCTCTGTGGGAGGCTTAAAGGGGGAGGATCCTAATCTTCATGAGTCATCCTCAGAAGACCTCTTGTGTGAGGTAAAGACATTTTGATGAGATCTTTCCCAAATTTCCACAAAGGAAACTTCTCTCCCTTTGCACTGGTTCAAAGCAAGACTACACAGTGCCACACAGCAAACTTGAAAGGTTTGATCTCACGAGGCTCTGGAGGGGGTGACAGTTTTGTCAAAGGGAAGGAGTCCACTAAGTATTTTGTTCCCTGTCCCTTAGCTGATTCCAGGAGAAATATTACAGAGCAAGGTGACAGGGTAACCTCTAGTGGAAGTGACTTGTAAACTCTCCTGTTATCCTACCTCCTACCTATCTTCTAACGGTGGGATTCTGTCATCTGAACAAATCTTTCAAAATGAAGTGACGATTTTTCAGTCATAAGCTGCATCTTAGTGTGGTTCAACTTCACAAACGCTGTGACCATTTCTTTCCATTGACTTACACATATTAGTTACATAACCTTTGTTGTGAGTGGGGGCAGTATTGTTATTAAGTCCAACTGTCAAAGTTCAAATCCTCACTCCATCACTAACTAGGGCAGACATGTCACCTGCCTTCGCAAAGCCTCGATTTCCTTGTGTATAAAATGTAGATAATAATATAATTACCTCAAATGATACTTGTGAAAATTCAAAGAGATAATACATGCAAACTGCTTAGCACATGTTGCTTAATAAATGGACGGTATCCTGACCAAAAGCTTGCCTATCATGTAATTTGTAATGTAATCATGTAATGTGACTTTTGAAATGTTTTCAGAACCCACCTAATCAGAGGAGGAGGTTGGACACTACCCACGGTCTCTGGCCATTGGGACTCTGAAAACGGATCAGGAAGCCTGGAGTCCAGATGTCACACACATACACACACACGCGTGCGCACGCGCCCACACACACGTTCACATAGACATACACACTTAATACATATATAAATATATATGTATTTCATATAGATATTTGGAGCTCAAAGAGTTCAGTATTTTAGGAAACTGAAACTATTGCTGAGATATGAGATGATCCATTTCTCTACCAGAATTTTATATGCTTCTTCCACCTTTCTCTATTTCAAAATTACGCCATTAATTTAGTGTTGCCACATACCTTGATCTCAGAGTGGGTTTCCTGTCTTTCCCAATTCTCAGCCTTTGTAAAAAACCACGAATCGTGGAAACTTCTTTTTCTGTGCAAGCATCGCTTGCGCAGCCTACCTGGTTAGAGATAAATAAAGGGAAACAAAAGACCTAAGGGGGGGCGGAAGGTATACAATGCACTTTGATCGCAAGCATTTGAAACAAATGTGTTCGCTGTTTGAGTGCTGGGTTGCAGTTGGAGTCCATGACGATTTACACCACTCGTCACACTGACAATGCAACCTCCCTTTGGAAAGTGGGCGAAGGTTCCAGAAGCTACAGATGATGTAGAGAATCCTTCTCTCCCCACTCCTCTCCTTTTGTTTCCATTTCAGGAGTTGTAATAGAAACCAGGTCTATCACAATAAAACTTGAACATAGAGGTTTGAAGAAAAAAAAAGGATTACAGTTTGTAAGGTTTCAGCCTATAATCATTCACCCATAATGTATTGACTTTTTCTATTTGTTCTACCACAATAGGCGCTGAGAGTGAGAAGGGCATAATCCTTTATTAATTAGCAAATTATTGATGTCCACAGTAGTTCCAGTGGTGATTTTACTTGCTCTTCATATGGGGACCCTTTTTCCTCTTGTTTCATTACAGTTTCCATCCCTATTCAGCTATTTAATGGAGAATCTGGCTGATTTAACCTCTTAAACTACTGAATCCACAAAATAAAAATAAAAATAAAAATAAAGGCAACGGCTCATAAAATCAGCACGACCTGATCTTGTACACGAATATGATGTATCTTGGTCAAAATGACAGAGACATAAGGAAGTCCTTGAAATAAAGGAAAGCTTGTGGTCTTAATTTAGGCCTTTAGTTTGTTCACGTACAGGGCCCTAGTAGAAGATCTTCGGACTTCGGTTAAACAGGAAGAAAAACAGGGTTTTAAATTCAGTGTATGTTGCTTTGTATCAGATGCCCTATTCATTAAACCTCCGGCATATGTTTATTAACTTAATTATATATTTATTTTTTCCTGCAGTCCCTGGATGGCTTTGTATTTGCACTAAATCAAGAAGGAAAATTTTTGTACATTTCTGAAACCGTCTCCATCTACCTAGGCCTCTCACAAGTAAGTAAAACAATTTAGATTCTCGACAGAGATTGTGAAGCCTCCTTCGGCCTTGTGCTTTTCCTTCTTCAAGGGGTATTCTGTTTGGCGTGAATTATCACATGTATTCTTTAATGGCTCTGCCTGACTCTTCTTGCAAAGTCGGTGAGAAAATTCTGTCAGTTCGAAACGTTCGGAATAAACTTGTACTCAAAAACTTTAGTTCCCCCCCCCTCCCCGCCCCCCCCCAAGGATCATTATTAATTTATTGAGAACAAATGAAGTTTCTTCCCTCAGTTGTTTTGAACTTTGAAACCTCTGTGCCCGGTAGGAGAGGGACACACTAATAGTGCTTCCCTTGTGTCCTATTACTGGATGTTTATGGAGTACCCTGCATTATCCTGGGAGCTGACACAATGACAGGAGTCATTTGGAGTCAAGAAATGCTGAAAGAGACCATTAAAATGTGTTGCAGGGAGGGTCCCAGCAAGGATCTGTTTTGCTGCCTTTGCAAATGCTTCCTAACGCTGAAAGGCAATTTCATAAAATAAGATAGCCTTTCGTTATGTGCACTTTAATTACTCGTACGTGTCTGTCAGAGGTTGAAAACAAAGAAGATGGAGGCAGCTGAGGTAAGGGACAAAATCCTAGATGTCCGTTCTTGATATTCCCCTGGAACACAAAAATTTTACTTCCGTTGGATTCCAGGACATAGGTTGCATCTACAGAATGCCAAAATCCCCTGAAGAAAAGTTGGCGATTCCACTAATTATCCAGATGTTTTTTTTTTCCTCTCGTAAAAGTGCCGAACATCTGGATACTTGTGCCCATACAGGTGATTGGCTGAGTTTGACCCTTTTCATCTGGTGATTTGGCATGAGGAAAACACAGCCTCGGTGGGAGGGATTTTGTGTGTATGTGATGATCTGCCAAGTTGGATAATCTACTTCTCCTTCAGTTGCCCCTTGGAGCTAAAGATGGAGATAAGAGTTGTCTCTCTCCTCTTAAGCAAGACCCACCCCAGACTCATTGCTTCCGCAAGTTGGCACTGCTCTAAGGAGGCACCCAGCACGGCTGGAACATTTTGGCTGTTAGTGAGTTTGCTGGGTAATAGCTAAATTGAGAAAGACACTGGGAAATAATAAAGAAAGATATTTGGCATTTGAGGAGGTTTGGAGGAGGTTTGCTGCCAAATGTGATTATTTACTGTTGAGAATCCAAGCAAGGGTCCATTAACTCTTCCTTGAAGAACGCGCGAAGCTATTGGCTATAGTTTATAGAGTAATTCTATTTTATGTGGGTTTCAGCAAACCAAATGATAGAAACTGGGCTATTGTTAACTCACTGTTAGCATTCTTGCATCTTATTGAAATCTCTGGTTTTGTAATAGCCTTTAATAGACTCTCAGCCTCATCTTAATCTGTTTAGGACCTAGTTTTGAGAATCTTCAGTTTTGAAACGGGTGTGCCCACTATGTGAGTATCTCACAGGACTGGAAACACCACTGTTTGTTGTTCTGCGATGCCCATATTCATCTGTTTTATGCACAGTATCCAACAAAGTTTAATAAGCCAGTGAAGAAGAAGGATGAATAATTAGTTTAAGCAGGTAAATGCTAATTAGGGAACTCCTGAAAAGCATCCATTATATACTAGCTCAAAACACATTTTACAGCCCTGGTTAGTGGTGTAATCCAAATTCTGTCAAGGCAACTGCATTTTCTGTAATTGAGATGTGTATGTTTGCTTTGCATAACAGATGGCTCTGTATGCTTAGACTGATAGCTAGGAAAATAATAATTGCATTATTCTGGCCAAAAGAATATTAGCTCTTGGGTTTTGGCCATTTCAGTCAGTCCTCCTGCCAGCACAGCATATGCACATATATGGATTGGATTTTCAAGGAAATTGATGCATCTGGAATAGTGTGGCCATCTGAAATATCATCTGTTCAAGAAAGATTTGGCTTTAACCCTGTGCTGGGTTCTCCTTAAAAGCAGTATATTTCACTGCTTTTCTACTGTAACATTAAGTCAATCTTTTCTTAAAATCTGAAACAAATAATTGAGGTTTCTGCAGAGTAAAGCAGCTGTGTAGACGTTTTGCAGCAGGTGGCACGTTCTGTCCGGTCATTCCCTGCTTCTTTTATGGGATGGGTTTTACAGTGTGGATCAGTAGTCAGCAAGTCAGCATCTTGACTTAACCAGGGGCAGACGCCAGCCCCAACGTGCTGTACCCTCAGTGGTAGATGGGTTCACTGTCGCCAGCAATGGTGGAGACTACGAGGTACAAGACAGAGGTCTTCAGTTGGAGGCACTTTGCAAGTGAAATGGTGAAGGGTCCATCACGAGAAGGTGACGTTTGCAAATGCCGATGTAGGTGTTAACATTGAAAACTAAAGTTTAAAAACACTTCTGGATTAATGTGAAAATAATCTGCTAAGAACATGGCCTGTTTTTAAAAATTAATTCTCCAACTTTGGGAAGGAATTTCCAACCCAGTAAATGTTGTGTTCTCAGTCCCAATAGGGTACTTGAGACTTAACCCTTTCCAACTTTCTTCAGTGACTTCTTGAAGTTGCCGGGTCACGGGGTACTCATGGGGGACATACGATGCACAATGTACTCACAGTTATTTGGTTAAGTAAATACTTAATTTTTTACACATGAGCGCACACACACGCAGACACACACAAACACGCCCATAATTGAATGCTGACCAAATGTGCTATTTGTAACCTACAACTTTGGCTCAGAAGTTATCCCGTGAAATTCTAGACAGAGATAAGGAGTCTGTGAAATTATGGCCCCTCCGTTTCTTTTTAAATAGTTTCATTAAATAAAGGCGATGTATGGCTGTATCACCAAAGATGTACCCAGTCAAACTGTTAAGGAATATTGTGAGCATGCCAGTTCGTTAGAGCATAGTTATGCCTACATTTGTAGCTCTCAAAATATCCCTTCCTCAGTTTTATATTCCTTCAACATGTAAATAAATATGGTGCCTTTAAAGTGGCTTATGTCCAGGAAAGAATTAAGATTTTATTTTGACTCATGAGAAAATTAAGTAGAGAGACTTGTCCTGAGCTCTGTTGTATAGCATGAATATAGAGACAATCAGAGTGGGTTTTTCCTCTATACTCTGTTGAGTGGAACAGCTCCTGGTTTCCAGCGTGTATGTGTGGCAGTCATTCTCTGTAAAGTCCTTTCATGTTATCATGATGGCAGGAATGAAGGGATCCGTGATGATGTTCAGACCAATTCAGCAGCCCTTTTGACTCTGCCAGAGATATATATTTAAAGCAACATTCAAGGTGTGCTTTCAGGTTGTAGAAATATGCACTGTTGGAGTGCCAGGGTGGTTCAGTGAGTTAAGCATCCAGCTCTTTATTTTGGCTCAGGTCGTGGTCTCACCATTCGTGAGTTCAAGCCTGCTTGGGATTCTCTCTCTTCCTCTCTCTCTGCTCCCCTCCATGCTTGCTTTCTCTCTCTCTCAAAATAAGTAAATAAACATTAAAAAAGAAATAGAGGTGCCTGGGTGGCTCAGTCAGTTAAGTGTCTGACTCTTGATCTAGGCTCAGGTCATGATCTCACAGTTTGTGAGTTTGAGCCCTGCATCGAGCTTTGCACTGTCATTGCAGAACCGACTTGAGATTCTCTCTCTCCCTCTCTTTCTGTCTCTCTGCATCTCATGCTGTCTCTCCATCTCGGAATAAATAAACTTTAAAAAAAATTAAATAAAATAAAAAGAAACATGCACTGTTGACTTACTTCCCTAGATAAAGATGATTCCTAGTTACTCACCATGAAGCCCTATCTTAAAAAGAAAGAGCCCCAAATATCATTAATGAGTTTGGTTTGCATGGGATTTAAATGCCTTCTTATACCTGGCAGATAGCCTTCAGAGCTGCTAAAGACAGCTCTAATCCATAGGTATAATGGAATAGGCATAAGTGAAAATGAAGAAAGAAAACAAAGTGTATTCCCTAACACTGAAAATGTAATAATAATACATAGCCTGATTTTATGAAATCTCTTCTGGTATGCCTGGGGCTTAATTGTCAACGGATCCAAAAGAGACTTAATATGATAAATTTTAAAAAATGCTTGTTTGATATAGGACCTAAAACTTGGAGAAATATTCATTTGTTGGCTTATGTCCTCCTCTTTCCACAAAGAAAATAGCTTATATAAATGTATATAATTAAAAAAAAAAAAAAGACAATGGCTAAACAGAGCTAAGGTATAAGGAAAAAGAAAAGACAAAAGTGTGTCATTTGTTACCACATAGTAGGAGCACACAATAGAGTAAGAGGGTTATAAGTGATCTGATAAAGCTTCAAATTTATCTGTGAGCTTCCTGGTAACCAAAGCAAAAAAAGGAAATACAGCCATTCATCAAAAAATAAGGAAACATCACTTTTTATGGAAAGCAAAGTTTTTCTGGGACTGCAGTATAATAATAAATCTCAAATACGATCTCCATGGCAGCTAATATGTGGATTATGACATGTTGATTTGCTTCCATTGGAGTTCACATCCAGAGCAAGGCTGTGTGGATCATATAACAAACATGAACAAACATATTTCAAATTTCATGAGCAGACAGAGGACTCTTCCCACCCCCTCAGGTGGTGTGCCAGAGATCATTTTGAGAGTGATTTTCTGATATCCAGGTCTTATAATAGCATTGACTAATTTGATGTTTTATGTGCTTTTATAAATCAGCTTTCCCTCACCCAAACACAAATCCTGCATTTGCTCTTAAATACTGATGAGAACTTTAACATTATAGTTGCCAGGGGCAGAGGACATGGGTCCCAGTTAACCAGAGGATAAAAATGGACTTACATTTTTTAAGAACATTTTTCTTTGAAAGTGGGGTGAGAGATGATGATTCTGATGCACACCCGTGCCAGCAAAATGTTTTCAATTTAGCATAGAGTCTTACTTAAAATAAAGTGGGATCTAGAACCCACTGGGAGATGAACAGATTTTTTACCCCGTGATATCATTAGAAAAT